CGAACTTACCAAAAACAGAATTTATATATATATATATATATATATATATAGTATCTGTGTGTGTGAACGCAGAAATCAACACTCCATAATAATTGCCAGTTTTACGCCTCAAGTGATCATTAGCCTATGTTCCAAATGCATTATTCCTTATATGGAACACGCAATTTTTTAAACAATAAAATTGTACATAATGGCTGTTTATTCTAGTTTTCCGATCACACAGGTCTGCTACGACGGCTACCCCAATCCCAGTCGCATGCACAGTTGTATTTGTCCAAATTTGTCATGATCAGTGGTTTAAAGAACACCAGACCATTTAAACCCTTGGTCACGATGACTTGTGACTTTGTGCTAACACAACAATCGTCAATTTCCGAACAGTTATATATACATAATTTCACTCACAAGGCTTGGGTCAACCAGTAGCATGGTTTTCAGGCATTTTCCAAAGATCCCCCCCTCACAGAACAATAATATCACCTTCATGGGCATCCCGGGTCTTATGATCGGAAAGTGAACCTTCTAACCACTCGGCCATTCATCGTGTTGATAGATATTGATTGGACTGATTCGTTTTTTTACGGTTTATCAACCCTTTGCAGGTTTTGAGATAATAATGGTTTAGTGATACAAGTTTTATTAATTAACTCATAGCTGGGGGAAGAATAGGTGGATTCATAATTTTCCCTTAAGTGAAAATAACGAACCCAACGGGAACTGGAACTCGGCTTTCCGATTAACAATTCCGAGCCGTTATCCATTACACCACCGCATATCCAAGTTTACTGCGTCTGATATTCTCAAGCGGTAATTCGGTGATCGTACTGGAATCGGTGTTTCCACGTGATATGGCCGTAAGCCGCGCAAGTAAGAATTTGCATACTAAAATTGGTAGAGATAATTTTCACGGAGTAAGGATCAAATTATTTATTGCCTTGCTGTGTGTGGCGGGGGCGGGGAGACTGCACGCATTGCTGATATAGGTAGTTACTAAGTTTAATCGGTTACAGTGTCCAAAGTTTTGGGTACGCGCGGAAGATCGAATTCACTACACTACAGTACTAAGTTACAAAGTAACTGTTTGTTCGACTAGCTTGTTAACCATTACACTACATTACAACAACGCACTCGTGTCTGTTGGCGTGCGTATGTTTATGTATGTGTATGTGTTAAAAGAAGTCTGTATGCTATGCTTGTATACAATAATGTGTGTGTGTGTGTGCGTAAACAGACGAGAAACTACTTCGTTTCTTCATTGTTCTCTTTCTTTCTCTATTCCCGCCACTAACACCATGTAGTGTATCTGCAGCAAGTTAACCATCCGTTTTACCATTCCATCCAACGAGGCGGATCGAGGCGATCAGGAAGAACATATTCTGGCTGAGCGGGAGGGCCTCCGCTTCATCCAACACCGGCTGGCATCGCTCAAAGATTTACTCTTCCTCGTGAACAATTCGACCTTTCTCCCTCAGCATTTATTTGGGTGATTTATTTATTTAAAATGGGCCGCCGACACAGTGACGCTGCTGCAACTGGCAAGATATATGGACTCGTTATCATTATAGATTTTCACACGAGCGCGCGCGCGCACACACACAAATACACTCACACACAAAACGACAGTACATGTGCGTTTGTGTGGGAGGCAGAAACAGAAAAAGAGAGACAGAACTAGAATGATCTAGAAAGAAAAAGAACAAAAAAAAGAAAAAAAGGTAAAGAAGGATAAAAGAAAAATAAATATATATTTTAAATGTTTAAAGTTCATGATAATAAATTTTTATTTTCTTCATCACAATCTTTCCCATATATATATATATATATATATATATATATATATATATATATATATATATATATAATTAAGAATTAATAAAAGTATGATTAAAATTTAAAAACAAAAGGAAAACTATTCCTTTTGTCCTTATTCACACATGCACACACACACACACACACACACACACACACACACACACACATATATATATATATATATAGATAGATAGATAGATAGATAGATAGAGAGAGAGAGAGAGAGAGAGGTGTAAAAATTGAGATAAATCACATATATCTGTAAAAAAAGAATGGGTAAAGTATGAATAAAGATAAAAGGAACTTTTCCTTTTGTATTTATTAACGCACACACGGGCATCTGTCTGTCTCTCTCTCTCTCTCTCTCTCTCTCTTTATATATATATATATATATATATATATATATATATATTCTTAAATATTATCGTCAAAATAAGACAGAAAGTTATATTTTTTACAATAATATTTACTACTATTGCTCTACAGACATGGTATTGAGCACCTTCTAAAATCTACTACAAGAAGACTATATATATATATATATATATATATATATATATATATATATATATATGTGTGTGTGTGTATGTGTGTGTATTACTGAAATGCAGTGCAAAAAAAAGGACGCTGATAGAATACCGCTCCGAAATATCCTTCTTCCGACCACCACCCTCTCTCATTTTCTCTTTTTCTCCTCTTTATTATGCAACTTTATCTCTCTTTCTCTTCTTACACTATATCCCTTCTCTCTTTCTCTCTCTCTCTCTCTCTCTCTCTCTCTCTCTCTCTCTGTCTATCTCTTTCTCTTTCCCCACCTGTTTCTGTTGGAGAATATTGATTAAATTCGCAACGCTTTCGTTCTTCTGCCCCCGGAGTTTTCTCCTTATTCTCAACACTATATAGCATGACACTACGAAATTCTCTCTAATTCTTTACCACCTTCCTCTCTTCCTCTCTTTTATTCTCTTTGCTTCATATTTAATAATTTGTCTTCATTGTCCACGCCTTATTCCATTTATATCTTCCCTCTGATGTCATGACAACCCGGAATATATCATCACTTTCCCGCAAAAATTGGAAACGAAGTCACTAACTAACGGAAAGAAATGCCTTTCTACACTTTTCTAATCTTTCCGTAATTAAAGACAATTTTCCGACGGACATAACCTTATTAGTAAGCCAATTACTCTCAGTGCACGATCGTCATTTAACTCCATTTGTCTTTCTTAACGTTGTCATATTGTATATCAATTTTGAATAGTTTGTCACCAAGATGCCAGTTAGAGGAGCTTGTACCTTTTCGACTTACATGGGTTCATCCTTTTAGTCGCACTCTAAAGAAGGAATACTCACTGCCCAGTCGCTTCTAAATTGCTATTCAGCTAAGAACAAGTTTTCAAGCGAAAGTTATCACAATTTTCTTAAAGGTTCGTGGCTACATAAAGTTTGTTAGCATTGGATGATAATGAGTGCCTAGAGATCATGTGATTCGCTCACGCGCGTGCTCCACACACACACACACACACACACACACACACACACACACACACACACACACAGAGGCTTGGGCGTATAAAGAAGATAATGTCTTTCCACCTCATATCTAAGTTTTAATACAGTTTTAAGTCTTGATATCTTTAGCAAATAGAGTTAGGAGTGTGTAATAATTAAAAAAGATATGAGGGTGAAATTTGTATAGCCCATCATATCAGAACTGGGCCCATTTCAAGGGTCTCGGGGTCCCCACTCTACAACATAGCAATTTTCATATGATATTTTTCATATGAAATACAAATTTTATTGTAACTTAATTATGTAGAATAATGTATCATATGCAATATAGGTGAGCAATTCAACAAAAAAAATTGAAAATAAATATAATGTATCTAAATACAAATTAGAGACTTGTCATAATAGATCATTCCATCTTAAATAATTAGAGACACATCATAATAGATCATTTCATCTTAAATAATTAGAGACACGTCATAATAGATCATTCCATCTTAAATAATTAGAGACACATCATAATAGATCATTTCATCTTAAATAATTAGAGACACGTCATAATAGATCATTCCATCTTAAATAAATCAACAATGTTTTGCGGCAATTTTTAACATTAACTTGAGATTATTCTTGTTAAAAAGTTGAAGAATTTTAACACATTCAACATTAAGGATAAAAGATATTGAATTTTTTTTTTGGGACTTAGCATGAGCAAAACAAATTCACGGATTTGGAGAAGAAAAAAAAAAGACCCCCATCCGTGAAAATTTTTCATCCTTTAATAAGTTGTGCTTAATTTAATTTAAATGTAGGTAGAAAAAAAAAATACAAATGTCGATAAGATAGCAAAGGTTACAAAGCACTGCCTGGGGCCTTCAATCATGCCCGCCCACTCCGGCTGGGGCATTCGCGGGTAGTACGCGCCGGCCCTGCATCAGATGATGACAAAAAGAAATTACTCTTTTTCGAAAATTCCCTCTTCAAAGATTTATTCAAAATATTACGTTGTTATATTTTTTGTACTATAAGCTGCAAGTAATTCACTTTATGTCAAAAAGTATAGAGAAATACGAGTTATTGTAAACGTCATGAAAAGGCAAGCAGAGATATTTCTCCAAGAATCTTGGGCACAAGGTTAAAAAAAAATGGTTAGAGAAGAATCCTGAAATGGCAAATGTGAAATTCTTTTAATTTCACCATAATGGCAAGTATTAGTTCTTTGTTTCACTTCATTGAAACATTATTATGATTAATATAATTCCAAAAGCTTTTACAAAATACATCTTTAAAACAGATGCATAATGATAAAGATTTATTGTATTTTATTTTTTCTTTTAGTTAATCACGATTATTATTAAAAATGATTTTATAACCTATGAAAAGAAAATTAACTAGAAACCACAAGAAATAGTTTCATTTTAAAATTTAAAATTCTAATCTTTAAAATTAACTAAAAAAAAAAAAAAAAAAAGAATGTTGAAAGTTGAAATATGTAAACAATCAGGG